GTGGTCTGAGTGCTAGAGGCAGGGAGTAGGGTCTACTCCCTAAGTGTGGGGGCTACAGCACACTCTATCTGGGCTCCCAGGGGTCTCTGAGGGCCCCCCGCACCCATCTAGCACCCGCACACAGCCATGTGTGTGCTTTAGTCTTGGGTGAACCTCTCCTGTTTCTCTGGCCCTGCGCGTCCCCCTCCACAGTGCCCTCACCCTGTCCCCATCCCTCCGCCATCCCTCATCCATCTCGCTGTGCACCGTCTCTCTGTGTCTGTCTCTCCATCTCTTACCCTTCTCTCCGCCTTCCCCTTTCTCCCTGTTCTCTGTCTCGTTCCCCTCCCCTCTCTGTGCCCCTTCTGTCCCCGTCGTCTTCTCTCTGTTTCCTGCTTCATCTCTTGTCTCTCTCCTTGCCTTCATACTTTGTCTCACTGCCTCTCATCTCTTTGCCTATCTCTGCCTCTGTCTCTCTGGCTCGCTCGCTCTCCCTTTGGCTCTGGCTCTCTCTGGCTCACTGTTTCTCTCTCTCGCTGTCTCGCTGTCTCTCTGTCTCTCTCACTCTCTTGCTCTCTGTTCCACTTCCCCATCTTTGCCTGCCGTCCCCCACCCCACCAGCCACACCAGGGCCAGCCCCTCTGTGACCAGCCTCCTTCCCCTCAATCCTCCTGCGGCCCTCCCTGCCCCACCTGTAGGGCTCGGGGACCTCCAGCCGGCTGGAGCCGAGAGAGCGCATGGAGCCCACCTATCAGCTGTCCCGCTGGACCCCGGTCATCAAGGACGTAATGGAGGTACCGGGTGGGCAGGTCAGGGTGGGGACCAGCCCTCCGCATCAGCTGGCAGCTCAGCCTCCCTCCTGCCAAGGCGCTAAGCCTCAGGGCTTAGGGGAAAATGCTCATCGCTGGCACTCCCTTGGCACCGATCTGCTCTGCCGAGGGGGGCACGCCAAGCCTGCAGCTGAGGAATTGGGGCGACATCGGGGCCTGTGCTGGGGAGCCTCACTTCCTCCCTACCTGCTGGCTGCCTCCTCTATATCTCTGTAGTCTGTTCGCCTGCCCCCCAGGAACCCCCTGAGCCCCAGCCCTGGCCTTTCCCAGGATCCTGGGGCAGCACCATCCAATAGTAATGGGCCTGGCGGCTTCCTGCTTCCTTCTTGTTCCTCTAAGAGCCCCGGCTCCTCCTCTTGCCTGGGGGCCAGAGACCTGGGCCTCCTCATCCCCACGGACCTTGAATACCCGGACTTCTGGGGCTCCGAGGGGTTGAGAGTTCAGACTCTGGGTTCCCCAAAGGGCTGCGGGTATTGACTGATGGTCCCCAAGGGCCTGGAGGCCCAGACTACTGGGTCCCCAAGGAATTATGGGTTTAGACTTCTGGGTCCCCAAGGAGTTACGGAATTAGATTCGTGGGTTCCCAGTGAGTATGGGTCTAGCTTTCTAGGTCCCCAATGGCCTAGAGGCCTAGACTCCTGGGTCCCCCAGAGGCAGCTGGTGGAAATGTTGGTTCCTGTCTGCCAGGATCTTGGCCCCTGAATACCCTGTGGGGGGCACTCCTGACCCCGGGCCCATGCCTGGGGTTCCTTCCCTCACCCCCGTCTCGGCCACCAGGATGCCGTGGAGGACCGGCTGGACAGGAACGTGTGGCCCTTCGTATCCGACCCCGCCCCCACGGCCAGCTCCCAGGCTGCCGTCAGGTGAGGCCCCGAGGCCGCCCCCACCCACGCCTGGGTCTGTGTTAGCGGGCGGCCTGGTGGCGGTGAGGACCTCCTGCCTGGACTTTCTGCCCCTGCCCTGCAGTGCCCGCTTCGGTCACTGGCACAAGAACAAGGCCGGCGTAGAGGCCCGGGCGGGCCCCCGGCTCATCGTGTACGTCATGGGTGGTGTGGCCATGTCAGAGATGAGGGCTGCCTACGAGGTGACCAGGGCCACCGAGGGCAAGTGGGAGGTGCTCATTGGTAAGTCATCAGGACTGGGACCCTGGGGCTCCAGGGCTTGGCTTCCCAGGGGCTGGACTTGGACCTTCTAGGTTCCTAGACTCCAGAGTCCTTCGAGTCAGGGACCTGGTTTGCCGAGGGACAGGGACAGCTCCACACCAGCTGGGACCCTGGCGGGAGCCTGTCAAAGACAAAGGCAGCGTCCCCCAACATCGTCTCCAAACCTCTGCTCCTGCACAGGCTCTTCACACATCCTCACCCCGACCCGCTTCCTGGATGACCTGAAGACGCTGGACCAGAAGCTGGAGGACATTGCCCTGCCCTGACCCCTGGACCTGCCCCCTACCCCTCCCTTTCCAGAGAAATAAACTATTCCCATCTCTCTGCCAGCCAGTGCCCGCCTCATTTTCTTTCCAAGGGATCCCCTGGGAGTTGTGCTGAGCCAGGCCTGTGCCCCAGGCCCCACCAACCCCTATTATCCTCTCAGAAGGAGAATTAGCCTCTCCCTGCCCCCCAGGGCATCTCAAGCCCTTGTGGAGGTTAAGAACTTGGACTTTTGGCAGGGCACGGTGGCTCACGCCTGTAATCCCAGCACTTTGGGAGGCCAAGGTGGGAGGATCACTTGAGGTCAGGACTTCAAGACTAGCCTCGCTAACATGGTGAAAACCCATCTCTACTAAAAATACAAAACAATTAGCCGGACGTGGTGGTGTGCACCTGTAGTCCCAGCTACTTGGGAGGCTGAGGCAGGAGAATCACTTGAACCCACAAGGTGGAGGCTGCAGTGAGCTGAGGTCACGCCTCCGCACTTCAGTCTCAAAAAAAAAAAAAAAAAAAAGAATTGAACTCTCGTTTGAATATCGGCTCTAAGATTTTCCAGCAGTGAGGCCCTGGCCAACTTACGGGGTTCCCAATCTAAAAACAGGGAGCCCAAAATAGCAGCTGCTTTGCAGAGGAGAGAACAGAGAGAGCGCAGGAAGGCTGGTGGCGTGCAAGCGTGACAGCTGCTGCTACCCCATTTTCACTGGAACCATTTTGGCTGCTCCATTCATATTGTTATTAACAAGCAGAATGGACCCTGGAACTGCAACCCCCCTAGGACTGTTCCAAGGGGTCCTGTAGGCACACGATGCAAGAAGTTGTGTTCAGCTTCCGGTGTATTCATGTGAGGCACACAACAAACTGCTTTCTCCTCCCAGCCCCATGGGGTTCACAGAGGCTCCTGACTGCAGGACTTATCAGGACCTTCAGTGGGTGTATCTATTTGCTAGGGCGTCGTAACAAGGTACCACAGACTAGGTGACTTAACAGAAATTGCCAGGTGCCATGGCTCATGCCCGTAGTCACACTTTGGGAGGCCACGGCAGGTGGATCCCTTGAGGCCAGGAGTTCAAGACTAGCCTGGGCAACATAGTGAGATCCTGTCTACAAAAAAAATAGAATTAGCTGAGTGTGGTGGTGTGCACCGTGGTCCCAGCTACTCAGGAGGCTAAGATGGGAGGATCATTTGAGCCTGGGAGGCAGAGGTTGCAGTGAGCCAAGATCATGCCAGTGCACTCCAGCCTTGGGTGACAGAGCGAGACCTCCATTTCAACAACAAAACTATAATCCCAGCACTTTGGGAGGCCAAGGTGGGTGGATCACCTGAGGTCAGGAGTTCGAGACCAACCTGGCCAACATGGTGAAACCTTGTCTCTACTAGAAATACAAAAAATTAGCCAGGTGTGGTGGCACACGCCTGTGGTCCCAGCTACTTGGGAGGCTGAGGCAGGAGAATCGCTTGAATTCAGGAGATGGAGGTTGTAGTGAGCCGAGATCGTGCCTCCGCACTCCAGCCTGTGCAAGAGAGCAAGACTCTGTCTCAAAACAAACAAACAAATTTATAGTCTTATGTTTCTAGAGACTGGAAGTCCAAGATGAAGATGTCCACAGGGGTGACTCCTTATGAAGTTTCTCTCCTTTCCTTGTAGACAGCTGTCTTTTCCCCGTGTGCTCACACAGTCTCCTCCCCCCGCCCCCGTGCATGTCTGTGTCCTAATCTGCTCTTCTTACAAGGAAATTGGTCATGTTGGATTAGGGCCCACGCATATGACCTCGTTTTTACTTATTTCTTTAAAGATCCTATCTCCAAGTATAGTCACTTTCTGAGGCAGTTGCGGGGCAGGACTTTAGCATAGACATTTGTGGAGAGGACACAGTTCAGCTCATAGCACTCAAGTGAGGTGTGAATCTCACAGCGCCAATAGAGCAGGAGAGGCCAGGCGAGGTAGCTTAAACATCTATCATCCCAGTGCTTTGGGAGGCCCAGGTGGGAGGATCACTCGGGCCCAGGAGTTCGAGACTAGCCTGGGCAGCATAACAAGATCCTGTCTCTACAAAAACATTTTTTTAAATTAGCTGGGCATGGTGTCTCGCACCTGGGGTCCAATTTACTCAGGAGGCTGAGGTGGGAGATCACTTGAGGCTAGGAGTTTAAGACCAGCCTGGGCAACACAGCAAGACCCCATCTCTACAAAAAAATAAGAAAAAGTAGTCAGGTACCTGGTGACATGCGCCTGCCTGTAGTCCCAGCTGCTCAGGACACTCAGGTTGAAGGATTGCTTGAGCCCAGGAGGTTGAGACTGCCATGAGCTATGATCATGCCACTGCACTCCAGCCTGGGTGGCAAAGTGAGACCCTATCATAAAAAAAAAAAGAAAGAAAGAAAAGAAAGGAAAAGAAACCTTTCTGGGGCACAGATATACAGCCAGCCATGTGAGTAATCCGAGGCAAAAGGGGCTGTGGGAGCCCATATCACATCTAATCCACCCAGTCTGGGGGCAATCTTGGAAGGCTTCCTAGAGGAGGCAGCATTTGCATAGAGAATGAAAATGAAGAGGGCGAAGGGAAGGGAGGGGAGGGCAGAGCAGAAGCCAAGGCCAGGGAATACCAGAGGCCCCTGAGGAGCTGAAGGGGAGGGTATTGACCTGCAACCCAATCTGAGAACCACGTGGAGCCACACAGGTCATGGTGAGGATTTTGGTCCCTGCTGAGGCCACAGGACATCATAGACAGGGTCTGAGTTGGGACAGGTAGGGACCCACGTCGCATGCTGGCGGTGAAATTCTCGCTGCTAGAGTGGGTGCCTGGGGAGGGGGCATTGGGTGAGGAAGCAGCCACATCAGAGGTAGAGCCTCTCTCACTGCCTGGGCTCAAGCAATCCTCCCACCTCAGCTTCCTGAGTAGCTGGGGCCATGAGTGCGTGTCAACAAGCCCAGTTCATCTTTTAATTTTTTTGTAGAGACCGGGTCTGGCTATGTTGCCCAGGCTGGTCTCCTGGGCCCACGCAATCTGCCCACCTTGGCCTCTCAAAGTACTGGGATGACAGGCGTGAGCCACCGCGCCCGGCGTCTCTCCTGATTTTGAGGTCATAGATCCTTTGGAGAATTCAGGGAAATCTAAGGACGCTCGTCCCAGAAAAACTGCACACACAATTTGCGGGTGGGGACTGAGGAGAATGCAGCCCCCTCTGATTCAGCAGTTCCACGATTAGGATTTATCCGAATCTCCCACCAGGGCAGGGAGATGGATGAGCAGAGCTGTGAAGGGGATGAGGTGTGGGGAAGAAAGTGGGTCGGCTGTGGACCCCTGGGGTCCGCCCGCCCTGGATATGCCTTTGCAAGGCCTCAGCAGGGACGCGTTTTAACTTACGGGAGGTGCAAGGAGTGGGAGGGAGGTGGTTTTAATGTTTAAAACTTAAGCTCAAGGTCGGGCACGGTGGCTCACGCCTGCAATCCCAGCACTTTGGGAGGGTGAGGTGGGAGGATCGCTTGAGGCCAGGAGTTTGAGGCCAGTGTGGGCAACAAAAGCGAAATCCTAAATATATGTATTTTTGAGACAGTTTCACTCTGTCGCCCAGGCTGGAGCGCAGTGGTGCGATCTCTACTCACTGTAACCTCTGCCTCTTGGGTTCAAGTGATTCTCCTGCCTCAGCCTCCCCAAAAGCTGGGATCACAGGCGTGCGACACCATGCCCAGCTAATTTTTATACTTTTAGTAGAGATGGGGTTTTGCCATGTTGACCAGGCTGGTCTCAAACTCCTGGGCTTCAAGTGATCCTCTGCCTCGGCCTCCCAAAGTGCTGGAATTACAGGCGTGAGCCACTGCGCCCAGCCAATGTCCACAATACTCACTTTATTTTATTTTATTTTATATTTTATTTTTGAGATGGAGTCTCCCTCTGTCGCCAGGCTGGAGTGCAGTGGTACGATCTTGGCTCACTGCAACCTGCGCCTCCTGGGTTCAAGTGATTCTCCTGCCTCAGCCTCCCGAGTAGCTGGGACTACAGGCGCGCGCCACTACGCCCAGCTAATTTCTGTGTTTTTAGTAGAGATGGGGTTTCACCATGTTGGCCAGAATGGTCTCGATTTCCTGACCTCGTGATCCACCCGCTTTGGCCTCCCAAAATGTTGGGATTACAGGCGTGAGCCACCGCGCCCGGCCAGTACTTATTTCAATAAAAAATAAAAATTTATCCATGCCTAACTGGGTAGTTACTTGACACAATAAATAATCTTTTCTAGGTTAAGAAAAAATAAAAAGGAAAACATTTAAACTCAACTTCCTGGGAAACCGCAGCTTCGCTCCGGGACGGGCTTGTGTAAGCACGCCCTGCGAGCGCCAGGGGGCGCTGCGGCGCAATTTCCCGGTTTCTTTGATCTTCCCCCTCTGTAACTGGAGATGAGGTGACCCTAATTAGAGACGACGGGGAAGTAGGTCAGGGGTTATTTCGTGGTTCTCAGCGGAGACAAAAGTCTGTTGCTTAAACCGCCTCTGCCTCTGACCCTTACTTATACTCAGATGATGCAATATCTTCACACTAAAGGCAAATATTGGGTCTACAAATATTTATATACCCCCGTGGGCGGTAGCAGCTGACAATATCAGGTCTTAACGAGCACGAAATCAAGTTCCCTCTGCATGCGTTATGCAGATCCTCAAAACCCTCCTGTGAGGATCGCTGGAGCCCAGGAGTTCGAGGCTGCAGTGAGCTATGATCGTGCCTCTGCACTCCAGCCTAGGTGGCAAAGTGTTGTGTTTAAAAAACAAACAAACAAACAAACAAAACGGTTGGGGGCCGGGCGCGGTGGCTCACATCTGTAATCCCAGCACTTTGGGAGGCCAAGGTGGGCGGATCATGAGGTCAGGAGTTCAAGACCAGTCTAGCCAACGTGGTGAAACCCCCTCTCTACTAAAAATACAAAAATTAGCCGGGTGTGGTGGCAGGTGACTGTAATCCCAGCTACTCGGGAGGCTGAGGCAGGAGAATCGCTTGAAACCGGAAGGTGGAGGTTGCAGTGAGCCATCATGCCACTGCACTGCAGCCTGAGCAACAAGAGTGAAACCCTGTCTCAATTAAAAAAAAAAAAAAAAAATCCTATGAGATCCTTCCCCCAAGTCCATTTCCCACCTCATGGTGAACCTGGCTGCTGTTCCTCAAATACACCACACTGTCCCTGCCCCAGAACGTTTGCACCTGCTGTTCCCATCACCTGCAATGCTGTGCCTTGCAAGCTATTATACTTCCTCCTTCCTTTCCCCAGCTCAGAGAGGCCCCTGCTTTACTTCCTTGTGGTATCCCTACTTAGGGTGCTTTCTTTCTGGTTCTTTTCTGGTACTGAGGAATGATTCTCATTCTGGATTTGGCAGGTTGCTTCCTCTCTCCCCATCCCTGCCCCGATGTTTACCCTATAAATGGGTTAGAGCCACATGCTCTATTGGAATAAGGGTCAGTTGTAGCCAGAATAATATCGTGCTGGTGGGGCCAGGTACTTCCTGGTACGTCCCATCAGGTGGTCCATAATGTCATGTCACTACAGCTGATAGGTGGGTTTGGGGAATGTCCCGGGTCTCCAGTAACTGCCCACATAAAGATGTTAGCAGGAGCCGGGCCCAGTGGCTCACGCCTGTAGTTCCCAGCACTTTGGGAGGCCAAGGCAGGAGGATTGCTTAGGCCCAGGAGTTTGAGAGCAGCCTGGGCAACATAGCAAAACCCTGTCTCTACTAAAAATAAAATAAAGGCCAGTCACGGTGGCTCATACCTGCAATCCCAGCACTTTGGGAGGCTGAGATGGGCAGATCACTTGAGGTCAGTAGTTCAAGACCAGCCTGGTCAACATGGTGAAACTCCGTCTCTACTAAAAATACAAAAATTAACCAGGTGTGGTGGCACACACCTGTAATCCCAGCTACTCAGGAAGCTGAGGCAGGAGAATCACTTGAACCCAGGAGGCAGAGGTTGCAGTGAGCTGAGATCATGCCATTGCATTCCAGCCTGGGCAACAGAGTAAGACTCTGTCTCAATAAATAGAATAAAATAAAATAAAACAAAATAAAAGAATTAACCAGATGTGGCAGCAATTGCTTGTAGTCCCAGCTACTTGGGAGGCTGAGGTGGGAGGATCGCTTGAATCCAGGAGGTTGAGGCTGCACTGAGTTATGATCTCGGCACTGCACTCCAGCCTGGGCAATAGAGTGAGACCCTGTCTCATAAATAAAAAAGAAAAGAAAAGAAAAGAAAGTTGTTAGCAGCCATCAATTTTTGTTGTTGTTGTTTTTTGTTTGTTTTTGAGATGGAGTTTCACTCTTGTTGCCCAGGCTAGAGTGCAGTGATGCAATCTTGGCTCACTGCAACCTCCACCTCCAGGGTTCAAGCAAATTCTCCTGCCTCAGCCTCCCCAGAAGCTGGGACTACAAGCATATGTCACCACGCTGGGCTATTTTTGCATTTTTAGTAGAGAGGGGGTCTCACCATGTTGACCAAGCTGGTCTTGAACTCCTGACCTCAAAAGATCCACCTGCCTCATCCTCCTAAAGTTCTGGGATTACAGGCGTGAGCCACCACGCCTGGCCCCAGCCATCCGTTTTTGATTCATTACTCTCTTGAGGATTATGTCCCACTTTATCATTCCTTCTACTGGAATTAGCTGTGGTTCTTCTGAAAAAACTTTCTGCTTCCCTCAGGAACTAGTTGGTTTGTACAGAAAGTGATTACGTGATACATTGACTTATGTATTATTTGTGGAATGCCTTGAGGCAAGTGGTCACATGAGCTCAGAGGAAGAGCCTGGAATGGGCACAGCCCTGAGGGTCATGTGTGGCTCCATTGGAAGCATCTAGGAAACACTCATGGGGGCAGCAAGCTACCCAGGTGCGGAGGCAAGAGCTGGAGGGCACGAGCTGTTCCAGTATAATAAAATATATAAAATAAGAATAGTTATACTAGATATAGATCATACATATGATTATATATTAATATCATTAATCATTAGTTTGTAGCAATTACTTTTTATTCTAATATTATAATAATCCTAGCTCTAAAATTATAACTTAGGAAAAACCAGGCCATACGGAGATGGGAGTTGAGGGGACATAGTGAGAAGTGACCAGAAGACAAGAGTGTGAGGCTTGGCCGGGCGCGGTGGCTCAAGCCTGTAATCCCAGCACTTTGGGAGGCCGAGGCGGGCGGATCACAAGGTCAGGAGATCGAGACCATCCTGGCTAACACGGTGAAACTCCGTCTCTACTAAAAAAAATACAAAAAACTACCCAGGCGAGGTGGCGGGTGCCTGTAGTCCCAGCTACTCGGGAGGCTGAGGCAGGAGAATGGCGTGAACCCGGGAGGCGGAGCTTGCAGTGAGCCGAGATCCGGCCACTGCACTCCAACCTGGGTGGCAGAGCGAGACTCCGTCTCAAAAAAAAAAAAAAAAAAAAAAAAAAGAGTGTGAGCCTTCTGTCACGCCCAGGCAGAGTCACCAGAGGGCTCCTTGGTCTAGCGGTAATGCCAGCATCTGGGAAGACACCTGTTGCCAAGCAGACCATGGTCTAGCGGTAGCATCAGTGTCAAGGAAAAACACCCGCTACTTAGCAGACCAGGAAAGGGAGTCTCCCTCTCCCCAGGGGAGTTTAGAGAAGACTCTACTCCTCCACCTCTTGTGGAAGGCCTGACATCAGTAAGGCCTGCCTGCAGTTATGCAGAGGCCTAACCATCTCCCTGTGATGTTGTGCTTCAGTGGTCACGCTCCTAGTCCGCCTTCATGTTCCATCCTGTACACCTGGCTCTGCCTTTTAAATAGCAGTAGCAAATTAGTGAAAGTACTAAAAGT